CCATACATGTTTTCTGAAAAACTTGGATTTATTGATTATTGTCAACAGGCATTAAACCCTCAAGCACGAGGTTTTTCAAGAAAAACAATTAAACGAGAAATTATTCGTCAGTATAAAACTGGAAAAATAAATTTGGCAAATTTTTTTCTCAATTTTAATTCTCGTGTTGCTATTTGTTCTGATATTTGGAGTGAAACTTATCATAATTTGTCTTATATGGGTGTTACTTGTCATTGGATAGATAGTGATTGGATTATGCATAAACGTGTTCTTGCATTTCGTGATTTCAATGAACAGCATAATGCTGAAAATATTTTCCTATTGCTTCAGAGTATTCTGCGGGAATACAACTTATCTGACAAAGTGTTTTCATTTGGTTTTGATAATGCTACTAATAATACTGCAGCTATTCCTAGACTTAGAGAAATTTGCCCACCATCTACGTCTATGGGTAGATTTCTGCATCAACGGTGTGTCTGTCATGTTTTAAATTTATGTGTTCAACAGGGACTAGAAGCTATGGGCGGAGTTTTGACGAATATTATAGAAGGAATTAAAAAAATTTGGGGGGCTCGTCTTGTTTCGAGGTCCTGGAAGATGTTCTGTAAGGCTAAGGGTAGAAAAGAAATAGTTTTTGCCAAAGATATCCACATTAGATGGAATAGTACATACAAATTGATTCACCAGATTCTAAAATATAAAGAGAAACTTGCTGAATTTTTTAGGGATGAACTTCGTATAATCATTGATCCTTTTGAATTTGTTATTGTTGAAAAATTGAATGCCGTATTAGAAGTTTTTAATAACGCAACTCTTACTTTTTCTCATGTTTACCACCCAACTACAAATACATTTTTAAAAGAGTGCGTTACAATCGCAACATGTTTTCGTGAAAGTAAGGCTGATCCAGATTTGTACCCATATGTCTCTCCTATGATACAAAAATGGTGTGCTTATTATTTGTACATTCCTGATATTTATAAAATAGGTATTATTTGTGATCCACGCTTTAAGATTGAAAATTATAAAATTTTAATTGAGTATTACTACAGTTGTTTTTTAGATGAAAATAGTTATTACTACAGT